TAACGCATTTATGAACGTGGGCTATGCAAGTTGCTACAGCCATGTTGCAAGTAAATATTCCATGAAGCTGGATATATGTTACCGCAAATATGTTCATGTTCTTACTCTATCATGTACCGAAAAAGGCTTTCGCCCCGCTTTATAAATAAAGCAAACCACCACAGCCACAAAGTAACACATAAGTTCACCCACACACACACACAGAAAGTCGCACAACATAGAGTACAAGAGGGTTCTGCTGAGGGCACAGCTCAACAAGCCCTGAAAAAGAAAACAAAGGTGGATAAACCGCAACAGCAGCTAAGAAGCTAATCCGGCTCAGGTGGTGGACTTACTAAAGATACCAAAGACCAAATAGACCACCATCATCCTTGCGTATAAACTGAATAATATTAGCGAGCTACATGAACATAATTATAATGAGACAAAAGAAGTAGACCAATGATGGAGATATGGACATATATAAGAAATCCTGTTTCCCCGCATGAATATTTTTTTCTGAACATGGAATTGCTTCAGCTTAACTACTTTATGAGTATTTTTCCTATGTTACTTGCATCGTGTTAACATTCTGCTCTGTAAATAATTTGCAAGTTCTCTAACCTTTTTTTTTCTGTTTCCAAGGCATGCTTCAGACAAAACATTACAGTTGTCACCATTTATGCCTCCTTGGGGGAAGGAGCACTTTGTCACTCACTAAATGAGGTCAGTTGACTATATTCTGTACATCCATGAACTCATTTTTATTAGTTCTAGCATCGCCTTTTGTTCGTAGGCACCAAAAATGCAAGCAACAGTTGCCACAAGATCTTTTTTATATTATTGCTAAAACAAATGGTGTATCATTCTATTTTATGAGAATAAGTCATACCTTATGTTTGTTGTGGTATGATCTACTAATCTTGGTCTTTTTTTACTCTTTAGACTGAGGCAACTACTGTGATCTGTGGGCGGAAAGAACTAAAAAAGCTTATTGATATAAATGGGCAACTTGATACTTTGAAACATGTTGTCTACATAAATGAGGAAGGTGTCTCAAGTGAAGTATCCTTGGCTAAACAATGCACTAACTGGAGAGTCGAGTCATTTGAGGAGGTAGAGAGGCTAGGGTTGGAAACACCTATTGAAGCAAATTTGCCTCTCCCATCTGACACAGCAGTGATAATGTACACAAGTGGAAGCACTGGAATGCCCAAGGTTTGTTCAAGTCCATGTTCAACATATTTAATTTTTGTTCTACTTTTTATCCGAGGTTTTCCATTTTCTGCTAATGCTCATTTACATTTTTCTGAGTTCATCTGATATGTAAACCACCAATACATGCCTTTTCTGAGTTCATCTGCTCTACAGCTCCTGCTGATTTGACGTTTTTCTTATTTGTACATTCACAGGGTGTCATGATGAGCCACCGCAATGTCCTGGCTACAGCATCAGCTGTTATGACTATTGTGCCTGCACTTGGCAAGAAGGATGTCTACTTGGCATACCTCCCGCTTGCACACATTCTTGAGTTGGCAGCTGAGGTAGGTATAGTGTGACATATCAGCATGTCAATCTATTTCGTGTCATTGCTATTCTTATGCTAATTGTATTATTGTAAATGATGTTCTAGACGATTATATCTGCTGTCGGGGCTTCTATAGGATATGGATCACCTTTGACCCTGACTGATACATCAAATAAAATCAAAAGGGGGACTCAAGGTGATGCCTCTGCGCTGAAGCCAACACTTCTGACTGCGGTACCTGCTATACTTGACCGTGTTCGTGATGGCGTACGAAAAAATGTATTGTCCTTTACGATGCCATCATCCATTGCTTTTCTCTGTGTTTTTTTATCTTTGTACTGAATTGCAGTTCATATTGGGATGAACTTAGGTAGATGCAAAGGGTGGTGCAGCGAAGAAGCTATTTGATATCGCCTACAGTCGTCGGCTAGCTGCTGTCAATGGAAGTTGGTTTGGTGCATGGGGATTAGAGAAGCTCGTGTGGGATATGCTTGTCTTCCAGAAGGTGCGTGCAATCTTGGGAGGACGGATTCGCTTTATACTCTCAGGCGGAGCACCTCTGTCTGGTGAAACTCAGAGATTTATCAATATATGCCTTGGGTGAGATATATAGATCCTGAGTTCTTTCGCAAAATAAGTATCTTAAATTCTTGCTGTTGACAGCAATTGTGTTTATACTCCACTTTTAATTGCTGGGTTTGAATTTCATACATTTCAAGTACAACTGGCATATTATTATTCTATCTTATTTACAAGCTCAGAAATTGATAGGCCAGAGTTTTGCTGTTACAGCGCTCCAATAGGGCAAGGATATGGTCTGACCGAAACATGTGCTGGCGGGACATTTTCTGAGTATAATGACTCGTCTGTTGGTCGTGTTGGTGCTCCACTGTCTTGTTCATTCATTAAGGTATAGAGGAAAGATGTACTTTCCCATTTCATAATGTTAATATGGTTAAGTTCCACTCTCCACAGCAAAGCTATTATGTTCATGCATATCTTTACTGTTAATAGTGTATCTTCAGCCCAGAGAGATGTCTGTTGAGTGATGAGGTATGCATGGAAGGTGTTCCCCAAGTTGTAAAGGACATGTTAATATTAAGTTTGTGGATGATCTTATGTTTTCAAATGGTTGATGTGATGCTTCCATGTCTGGATGGTATTACTAGGGCGGTAACTTTCCTGTTAGTCTAGTTAATATGCACGGTAATTTTATCTGTCTAATGCCTTGCAGTTATATTTTACACCCCTCGGCGTAAAACTAGAAATATATGGTATTGACAACCTATGTGTTAACAATTAGTGCATTTTGGCTTTGCCCGCCGAGTTTTATTCTTCCCCCTTCCCTTCAGGTTCAATTCTTTACTAACATAATTGTAACTCTACATGATAGTTGATAGACTGGGTCGAAGGTGGATACTTGACATCTGATTCACCAATGCCTCGGGGAGAAATAGTTATTGGAGGCCCAAATGTAACCAAAGGCTATTTCAAAAATGAGGCCAAAACAAATGAGGTCTACAAGGTAAGTTACCAACAACAGTAATACTACAAAGCTATCTATGTTGTGATTAAAGAGAAATATAAAAAATGTATCTTGTTCAGGATGATGAGAGAGGCATGAGGTGGTTCTACTCCGGTGACATTGGGCGTTTGCACGCAGATGGCTGCCTCGAAATCATCGACCGGAAGAAGGATATAGTTAAGCTTCAACATGGTGAATATGTATCGCTAGGAAAGGTAATACGGTTTCTTTTTCTGGCCAAACACGCGGCTATTTCAGCACTTTTCGACTTACGACCAGGCTAAGCAAGCAGCTAGTAGCTCTCTTCCTAACGAAGTACACATTCACAGGTAGAGGCCACTTTGAGTGTGAGCCCGTATGTTGACAACATCATGGTCCACGCCGACCCCTCCCAAAACTACTGTGTTGCACTTGTTGTAGCTGCACACGGTGAGCTGGAAAACTGGGCCTCAAAACAAGGGATTGTATACTCTGATTTCGCCGATCTGTGCCAGAAGCAAGAGACTGTCAAAGAAGTTCTGCAGTCGTTGGTGAAGGTTCATGCTTCGCACTTTGATCGCGAATTCTCGGTCGTTTGCGACCGTTGCACGCATGATTGATTGTATTGTGTTGTTGCTCTAAATTGTTCTTCAGGCTGGTAAGCAATCGCGGCTGGAGAAGTTTGAGATCCCTGCCAGGATCAAGCTGATACCGGAGCCATGGACCCCCGAGTCGGGTCTTGTCACCGCTGCCCTCAAGCTCAAGAGGGAGGTCATCAAGAAGGGTTATCAGGACGATCTTGCTAAGCTGTACAGATAGTGTCCCTTTTGTTAGGGAGAACAAAATTCCTCATCTGTGTTCTGTTTCAGACAGTGGAACAGATAGTGTCCCTTCGTTAGCAAGAACAAAACTTCTCATATGTGTTGTGTTTCAAACAGTGAAACAGTGGATCGGAACAGACAGTATATTGAACACTGTGTACTTGATGATTTACCATTGCATTTCAGCTAGCGATCCTGTTCTCCTCAGTTAAACTTCTCATGGAAGTTCCCTGAATCTTGCTGTCATGATTCACATACGAGTTACTGCTACACAAGGATGTGTAGGTTCTGGGTATTAGTTATCTCTGTAAATTCTTTGAAACATCAGCTTTTAGAATGTACTCCCATCACTGTTATAAAATGTATAGCATATGTCAATATGGACTAAAAAATGCGTCTATATACATCTGATTCAGAAAAAATAATATTACTCCCTCTTCAACTTTGTACTAAATCAGTGATGATTAATCTGAGAGTAGACCATCTTATAATTGTGAACGGAAGGAGTAGCGTATTAGAACAGTAAACAGACGAAAGTTGGTAAATTGTTTGCCAAAAAATAAGCCATGCTACACTAACAGCACCAAGGATGAGAAAATGACTTTGTAGGAAACAACCAAAAATCACATTGCCGTTACCAAATTGGTAGCCTATATGAATTGCAAGTTTGTGGCTTCCAACAAATGTTTAGCAGCAAAGCAGACAAACCACATTAATTTTCTAACCATGCAGAAAAAGAGTAGGAATTTGAATCAAGGAATTAGAGTGGAGAAAAGAGATGAACATAATATAATCATAAATTTATTATTTAGCTACAATGCGTGTTTTTATTCACCACCAGTAGGATTAAAACCCATATTCCCAGGAGCAGCAATCCAGCCTACCCCAAAATCCTCTGCACGAACAGCAAACGCCCACCACAACCCAAAAAGAATGAAAACGGTACTGGAAGTGTCACCTTCCTTAATAATCTACAAATATCTCCTTAATACATCAAAATTAGAACTTTTCAATGCTTCAGCTTCTCAAGAATGTAGCCTGTGTGGCAATTGCAGAATGGTAGAGCGAGGCGCCTAATCCGCACGGGACTGGCCGGCACGGGACGAGAGGATGATGCCCACGATGAGACCATAAAGGGCAAGTGCTTCTGCGAAAATGAGGATAAGGATCATGCCCACGAACAGCTTTGGTTGTTGCGCATTAGCCCTGCAATCAAAATCCACAAGGGATCAACACTGGATTCAACTGTAGGAGGCTTGCAGTGCAGCCCCCATACAAAATAGTATCAATATGAAACTGAAAAAACTGCAAAGGAAACACTAATCGACGACATCATAGACTAACATATTAACTGTTCCAAATAGTAATATAACACAGTCGACATTAAACATTTATTGCAAATCAAATATCTCAGAATCAATTCACATGCTTATACAAGAACATGTACTTTCATATGTAAATCTGCAATATTCATTCAAAAATATTGCAGGAAAAATGCCTTAAGCAATACACAGCTATTCCTATTGTTTAAAATTTCAGGTCTTACAGACACAAAAGGCCAAACAATAACATAAGTTAATGCCCCCACTGTTTTCCGCTCACATCAGAGGTACATAAGCGCAATAGCAGCATATACTATATGTTCATCATATATTATAACAGCTAAGTTATCAAAATAGTATGAAGAAACTGTTAAATAAGGTCACTTTGTGATGTTTTCTGTATTTAATTTACAAACAAATCCAGAGAGAATTCCATAGTCACAAGTACAAGCAAGATCATTGAAACACATAGCTGACTCTATTTATTACTCCCTCCGTCCCAAAATAAGTGTCTTGAGCTTAGTACAGATTTATACTAGAGCTAGTATAAGCTAGTATAAAGTTGAGACACTTATTTTAGGACGGAGGGAGTACCATAGTAGATTGCATGGATTACAAACAGAAGGATCCACAATATCATGTACGATTCTAGGAGATTTCGTTCTTGATTACTCAAGCTAAAGCTAATGACAGAAATAATTCTCGCTTTGCAGCAATATATGCTACAACCATCATTAATAAATAAACTAATCACAAAGGTAGTAACCACGTCTGTTTTGGAAAAACAGATCCATGATGCTCATTGGGCATAAACTAATGCAAGGCTAATTATTAATCAACCCGTAATGCACAGCACTAACTAGCTACGAGCATCCACATACCGCTTAAAAGTCAAAGACGAAAGGTTAAACAAATAGAAGCTGCTGCGTCTTTACCTGACTCCAGCATCACCGACAATGCCAATGGCCATGCCGGCGGCGAGCCCCGCGAGGCCACAGGCGAGCCCGGAGGAGAGGTGAGCGTAGCCGTCGAAGAGGAAGTAGGGCTTGGCCTTGGGGTTGATCCCGGTGCTGATGATGACGGCGATGATGAGGCCGTAGATTCCGAGCACTCCCGCCATGACGACGGGCACGATGGACTTCATGACAAGCTCCGGCCGCATGACTCCCATGGACGCCACCCCGACGCCGCTCTTGGCCGTCCCGTAGGCCGCCCCCATGCCTGCAAACGAAACCGGTCAAATCGTGTCTCTAGCCGGATCCAGCGTGGAGGGATCCCAAATCGAGCGAATCGGGGCACGGAACTCGCAGTGCAACCACGGGGACCGGCAGATCGAGCCAAGGCGCGACCGCGAGCCCGACGGGAGCGGGGAGAGGGAACCCCTCGGGCATCTGATGAAATCTCAGCTTTTCGTAAGAGGTGCCGCTCGATCGCGGGAGGAGGGGGAGGAGGAGGGAGGAGAGGCGATCGTACATGAGAAGACGAGGGCGGCGGCGGCGCCGAGGAAGCCGAAGAAGGGCGCCGTCTCATCGCCGCTGAACACCGACGACATCTTGCTCTCCTTCTTTCTCCGGTCGCGCTTCTTTCCTGTGGAGCTCTGGGTGGCCTCGTCGCTAAGGAAGATGGTTGGTAGGGAGAGGAACAGATGGTCTCTCCAGTTTGCTTTTATTTTCTCCTCTCCTCTCCTCGCCCTGACCCGATCTGATCTTGATAAATAAAAACTCTGCAAGTATACAGGTGTGACGATGATGGACTCCTTGGTTTTGCACCCTGGCCCCTGGGTTCCTGCTTATTTTATCGATCTCGCCGTTCTTTTTGTCTCCATCAGATCAGATCTCACGGCGATTTAATAAATGAAAAAAAAAGATCTCTAGGCGATTTAATACTCCCTCCGTTTTTATTTACTCCGCATATTAATTTTGGTCAAAGTCAAACTTTATAAACTTTGACAAATTAACATGTACAATAACAAATCAACACCATTAGATTCATTATCAAATGTACTTCCACATTATATAGATTTGTTATGGTAAATATTTATATTCTTTTTTTATAAACTTTGGATTTGTTATGGCGGAGTAAATAAAAACGAAGGGAGTACTTTGGATTTATGTTAAATAAAATTAACACAGTGCAGACATGGACACTCAATATATGCACATACACTCACCTCTATGAACGTACACACACGCCCTATCTCATATGAGCACATTTGAGAGACTGAACCCTTCTATCATCTTGAGAGAGAGATCCTCATCCGGAAAGGCTTTGACCCCCAATGGATTGTGAGGGTATGCATCTAGTTTCTAGTGGTAGAACTGCGCTCAACATTAATGGTGAAGTCGGACCCTATGTCGCCACCTCCGGCGGGGTTCGCTAGGGTGATCCCCTAACACCATTTCTATTCAACTTGGTAGTTGATGCTCTTGCAGCCATCCTAGATGTCGGGAAGCATGCGGGGCATATTAGGGGAATATGCCCCCATCTTATTGCGGGAGATTGAATTACGCACCTCCAATATGAAAACGACGCCATCCTTATGGTGGAGGGTTCAGACGCGGATATTCAAAGCATGAAATTCCTGCTTCTCTGTTTTCAAGAGACGTCGGGTTTAACCATCAACTTCACTAAGAGTGACGCATGCATTCATATGAGGGTTGCCAAGAACCTGTGGGATGCGCTTGAAGTTAAGTTCGGCGTAACCGATACTGGAAGCGAATTGTGTGCCATGGAGCAGTTCCATGATTACAGGAACGGTTGATGGCCATTTTGTATTGGACCAGACTCATGAGCTACAGTGCATCACTAAAGAGCTGGATCTCCTGAAGTGTGACTCACAAGACAAGTTTGTCGTGGGTTGCATTATTGCAAAACTCCCTCCTGAATGGAGGAACTTTGCTACTTCTTTCAAACACTGGAGATGTGAATTCTCTATTGAGGATGTCACCGGTCATCTAAGTATTGAGCAGAACTCGAGAATAAAGGACTCATACGTGAAAGGGACAGAGAATTCTTCTAGCGCCAACGCGGTGCAGAAGAATTTCCATAAGTTCAAGGGAAAGAACATTGAGCAAAATACTACCTTCAGGAAGAAGGGTAAGAAGAAAGACAAAAGAAGAGATGGCTGCTTTACTTGTGGTTCAGAGGAACATTGGGCAAACAAGTGCCCAAACAAGTACAAGAAGTCACGACAGGACTCCAAGTCTGTCAATGTGACTATGAGCAACAATGATGGGGCATGTGGGTATGATAATATGTTTACGGTACTTTTAGTTTATCAATCCACTGGTTGGTGGGTTGACACAGATGCAAATATTCATGTGTGTGCTGATATGTCTTTGTTCTCTTCTTACCAGGTCGCACAAGATTGCTTCATCCTGATGGAGAATGGCTCGCATGCTTCTGTTCATGGTGTTAGCATGATATATCTGAAGTTAACTTCGGGAAAGACCGCGCAACTAAAGAACGTGCAACATGTCCCAGCCATCAAGAAGAATCCCGCCAGTGCCTCCCTTCTATGTAAAGAGGGTTTAAGTTGGTATTTGAGTCCAATAAAGTAGTCGTATCTCGATATGGACTATTTGTTGGAAAAAGATATGATTGCGATGGTTTGTTACGCCTTTCCCTAGTGGATTTTTATAATAAAGTCGTGAACCAAATTAATTCTAGCATGAATAAATATGAGGTTTGGCATCCACATCCTTGTCATATTAATTTCGGTTGTATGACACGGCTAGCTAAGATGGATTTAATCCCGAGTTTCACTTTAGCCAAAGCTCTAAGTGTCATTCGTGTGTGCAAGCAAAGCAACCTCGTAAACCTCACAAGCCTGCGAAGGAGAGGCACCTGGCATCTCTAGAGCTCATGCATTTAGATCTTTGGGAGATGAATGATGTATTGACTAAGGTTTCATGACGTTGATTGACGATTCCACTAAATTCTACTATGCGTATTTGTTAAATACTAAGGACGAGGCTCTGCACTACTTTAAAATCTATAAGAAATAGTTGAGAACTAACTTGAAAATAAAATAAAACGAGTTCAGTCTCATCATGGAGGAGAGTATTTTTCTAATGAGTTTGATTTATTATGTGCGGAACATGGTATTATTCATGAGAGGACGCTTCCCTATTCACCCCAGTCAAACGGGGTTGCCGAACGGAAAAACCGTACTCCAAAAGATTTTAGATACATCGGGTTTATCCAAGGCATGGTGGGGGAAGGTTGTATTGGCATCTTGTCATGTCCTGAATAAAGTTCCCATGAAGGATAATGAGATTACTCCCTATGAGCAATGGGAGAAGAAAATAACTACACTCTCTTACTTGCGCACTTTGGGTTGTTTGGTGAAAGTCAACACGCTGATAACCAAAAAGCGTAAGCTGGGACCAAAGATTGTGGACTACATTTTTTTGGGCTATGCTAAGCAAAACATTGGCCATAGATTTCTAGTGGTGAAATCTGATGATGTACACGAAGTGAAGTTCAGTATGATCATGGAGTCAAATTTGTTGTCAGAAACGGCAAGTCTATGCGCTTTTGGTTAGATTGGTGGTGTGGGGAGGCCACCTTGGTGGTGACATTCCTGGTCTTGTTTTCCTATTGTCCTGACCCAGAGATCTCTATCTCCGAGCTCTCGGCGAATAATTGGGACTTGGGCCTTCATAAGAAGCTTTCTCCTGAAGAGTTGGAAGATTGGCATCGTCTTACTGCTTGCTTCCCTTTGCTCTCGGAGGATGAGGACTCGGTGGTCTGGCCCCATTCTACTTCTGGTCATTTTTCGGTCAAATCCTTGTACGCTAAAATGATTTCGGGCTCTCCTACTTCCAAGTTCAAATGCATTTGGAGTGCCCGTGTTCCTCCTAAGGTCAAAATTTTCTTGTGGCAAGCTTTCCGCGGGAAGCTTCCTGTAGCGGATCAAATTAAGAAAAGGAACGGTCCCGGTTCAAATAGATGCGCCTTATGTGGGGACCTTGAAAACACGGATCACATTTTTTCGGTGCTCCTTGGCTAAGTTTGTTTGGTGCTGCATCCGCTCCTGGCTCCAGGTGTCATGGGACCCCTCGTCTTTCGAGGATCTTAGGGCTTTGGTCAAAGGTTTAGCTGGGAACTCTAAGAGGATTTTCTGGGTTGGGTTTGCAGCGATCTGTTGGTCTCTGTGGACCACTAGAAACAAGTTTACCATCGAGCGTATCTTCCCAGCTAATCCTGATGATTGCTTATTTAAATCTGGAATATTCTTGCAGCAGTGGAGATCATTGACTAGGGATGCTGATCACGAGGCCTTCGATGTTATGGTGTCCAAGATTCAGGCTACGGCTTCGTCCCTTGCGCGCAGGCAATGCGAAGTATCTTAATCCTTGGCATCTTCGGTTTAGTCTTTTGGTTTACCTGCATGCCTGATCTGGCTGGTTAGCCATGTACCTGAACTTCTTTTCTTGGTCTGCTTAGTTTCTATGGTTGTTTGGGTGTTGGATATTGGCTTGTTACTCTACCTGGTGACTTTATCTATAAAGTCGGGTGTATGCCTTTTTATCTATAAAATATGTCTTTG